TTTGCCAGGTGCATACAACATTTATGACAGGTTTTCACGAAAGTGTTGGTCAGTTTGTCTGCTTGACAATCCCATTTTGCACTTCAACAATAAAACTGAAGTGAGATAAGCAAACTGAGAAATGTTTATTTTTAGTTAAAATAGATGTTGTCAAAGTTTTCCTTTGGGGACATAAATTGAAGTTGGAAAAAGGTAATAAATTGCAATATATCGCAGAATATCGCAATATATTTAAAATCGCAATAATATTGTATCGTGACACAAGTATCGTGATAATATCGTATCGTGAGGTCTCTGGTGATTCCCACCCCTAAATACAATTTTTTTATTTTACAGTGAAATACTACAATAGTACTAAATATTTCAATATATAAAATCTAGTAATATACAATATAGTAAAATATTACTATTTCTTTGTTTAATATTTTTATTTAGTAATATAATAAAATTAAAACCAACAACAATAATAATAATAATTATTATTATTATTATTATTATTATATTGAGATATAATCACCTTTTTTGTGATTATACATCATGACTATAAAATATAAAATAACCTGAAGCTTTCTTTTTTTTTAAATCCCATTTAAAATTCCAATCAAAGTTTTATCAGAAAAATTATGATTTTTTTTCCCGAAATCATGCAGCCCTGATCATAGGTGATAACACATATTCCTAGGAAAGAGCAATACAAAAGATGACATGCTCCCTTGTGTAGCTGATGATTGAAGGGAGCTGGGATGAAGATGTCTGAATAAGGGGATACAAGCATATATGTGGATACTAGTGTGACTGACAACCTGCCAACAAGTGACAGATTTTCTGAGAGCACTTGAAAGAAAATGTCTGTTCTTGGATGAAGAGATACTATGTGCAAGCCTAGTCAGACTGAGTAGTCTAATGTCAAAAATATATATATATTTATATATATACCTGTATAAAGTATTGCATGAATGTAAACAAACTCTGGACAGGAAACAGATTCATTGGACATAAAGTCTGGGCGAGAAACCTCCCCGGACATGTGCCAGTGTATAATATGTAGATGCCAAGGCACAGAGAGTGTCTGCTTCAGACAAAAAAAAATCCTTCTTGATCTTACTCCTTACTTACAATCAGGAGAAACCTCAGTCTTACAGGCCAAGTGCCATTACCTGCTGGGGAGGAAAATCAGTGAGAGCCTCAGCAACTAAAAACCATCTGAGAAAGACCTGTCTCCTCTTACAGAGCAGACTCAAGCAGTGCCTACCACTGGGCATTCAAGTTACGCCTGGCAGTGTGAAATAAGCGTCAGCCAGAGAAGCACATAAGCCAAGAGATTTGAGGGAAACGCTTGAGGCTATGTGACACTTTAGTTTAAAATCAGAAGTGCTCAGTGTGAATACTGTTTAATCACCAGCACTTTACAATAACAATACTCTATATGAATACAATCTGCTCCAAAATACTCTCCAGCCTTTGCTGAAGAGTTCACAGAAATGCTATCAATGATTTCCTCAGAGTTTGACTGTTTTGCTATTGCAGGGGATTTTAATATTCACATAGATAATGCAGAAAACAAAACTACAAAATAAATTATAACTGTTTTAAACACTTTTGACTAGGGATGCGCCGATCCGATATTCATATCGGGTATCGGCTCCGATAGTGCCATTTTTCTCGGATCGGGTATCGGTCAGAGAGAGCCGATCCAAATCCGAGATTTTTTTTTTCTTTTTTTCCGATTGTGCGAATTATTCTGTGTTACTTCTGAAGCCATACGATAGCGTAATGTGAGCTACATATGAATATTTAAGTCCTTACATTAAAGTTCACACAAACTATTTTCTCCACTGTGGCTGTCAGTCATTCGTTCAGCCTTTAAACCCTGGTCGCGTTCGGTTACAGCAGTCAGCTCGGTAAAGCTCTCTCCAAGATCATTCTGTGTTCCCATTATACTTGATTTGTAAATACATGTCTATGATTTTGCAAAAAGGACTTTATCTTCTTGCCGGAATTGAATGTTGTTTTGTTACTTGCCACCGGGTGTCTGTGAGAACAAAACACGGGTGTAGAAAAGACTATAAATTGTTTTTAAC